ATAATTTAAGCCGAAACTAGAGCCGAACATTTTATTGGATTTCGCTCTTTTAATTAAATTTCTCGCCCCAGGATGCTGACATAATTGCGAGAAAATTGACACCTCTATCATATTAAATGCGAAATACGATCCGAGATTTTAAATGGAATAAAGAATGTTACAAGCTACTCGGTATCCAGCAGAGATTAAGGACTAAAAGTTCCCGAACTCAGCTGGATACTGAGGGGTTTTTCTTGGGTTGCTAAGAGCGCACGGCTCGTTATGACAACAATGATGAAAATCGTGACATTTCCTAGCTATTGGTATTCTACGAGCTACATTACCTTAAGAAACCCTTACGAAACCTAGGAGTTATCGTTTTAACCAACGGTTGGTGAGTTGATGTTCATTGTACTTTAACAATTTGTTTAATTTGTACCACACATCTGAAGGAAAGACAAAGTGAATCTATAGCATGGTGTTCAACAAGACGTGCACAGCGTTTCGTGTTTACATTCATGTACACCAATACCTTTTTTTGCACAAAATAATAGTCTAATAGGATGAAAAGAGTAGATTCTCGCTACGTTTACCCTGAAGCATTCAAAATAGCTCATGCACGTTAGACGTGCCTATCCTTAGTATGAACGCCTACGAATTCGAACACAGTCGAAGCTCTCCTTGTGATCACTCTCGCAAGCGTCCAGCCCTAGTTACGACCACCTTTGTGAAACACCGTTTGAACTGTGACTTTAGCTTTGTAATGAAAAGCTATCAGGGACCTTAAGATCCGCAGACGGCGACGGCAACGAGGAATTCAAAAAAGCGATAGGTCTGATAACAAGAACAACAATTTTGCACTTGCATCACACTATTTTGTACATTTCTTTGCCTTCACTACACGACTACTACGTGAAAATGGCTAATTTCACGTGTTACAGAGGACGTACACAAGCGATGACGAAATTTCCTCTCTCTTTCTGAACTTGGATATGGTTCTTAGAAAATCAACAACTTTAGGACAATTCACCTACATTTGACAAAGTTATTAACTTGGAGTAATCGCAATGAAGGTTGAAAAATCGCGAAATGACTTTTTCAGCGACGTTTTCTCTGCCGTCGCCTTCGTCTGGTCTTAAGGTCCCCATTATACGACGGCGACGGCTACGAAAACGGCACGTAAAAAGTGAATTTGCGCTGCTTCAAACTTTATCGCGCTTCGGCATGTAGTTAAATTTATCAAATGTTGGCTGATTTTTCTGGAGTTGAGGGACTATATAGAAGGTCAGGAAAGAAAAAAGAAAGTCGTTGCCTTGTGTTCTCGTCCTCCACTAAAAGTGAAATTAGGCATTTTCACTTCGTAGACGTGCAACGACGGTAAAGAAATGTACAAAAACGCGTGATGCACTTGCAAAGTTGTTGTTCTGCTAACGAAAACCAATTGCTCTTTCACCGTCCTTGTTGCCGTTGCTGTCGCCGTCGCCGTTTTTTTAAGGAAGCTAAAAAGCTCCCTAACTAATATCATTGGCAGGGGAGGAGTAGGGGGACAACAGAAATGAGGAGGAGAGAAACAACATAAAAATATGTTGGCGGTGGTGTTGGCGGTGGTAGTGGTGGTGGTGGTTGACGAGGGAAGCACAACTTAACAGATAAACTGTGTCATCATTGATCTAAAACATGTCTAGCCGGTTAAACCACCTAAAAAGTACGAGAGGTAATCTTATTTCTCTATTTCATAATACACTTCATAATACACTCTGTTTTCTCCCCCGCCCACCATTGTTTTCAAATGATCCAGGGAGGAGAGTATATATCTACGAGCATTTGAAAACAATGACTTATGCAAAATTTGTAAAAATAGTGTATTATGAGGGATTCGAAAATAGTCAATGAGATTCAACCGCATTCTATTCATGGACCAAGGATAGAAGGCTATGACGTCATCGGCGTTAATGCATTTCACTTCACACTAATGAGATTCCACTTCAAAACACGGATAATTCAGTGCCTCCTGTACTACTTGCGGGCACGACCTCGAATTTTTCGGCATCTTATTGAATTATCCACCATATGAAGCTCGGGTCTTGTGTTTTAAAATTTTTGAAGCAGGATCCTGTATTCTCACTGTTCTCAAAATCGTGAAGATGAGATCTTGAAGATTTAATGTCTTAATGCTAAGATCTCGAAGTTTCAGCATCTTGAAGAAACTATCGTAATTGATTAGCATTCATTTACAAAAGGCACTGGATCTCTAATTTAGACTTCTTCCCAGCAAGATCTGTTTAAGTTTTAATAATTGCCCACACGATCTTGATTTTCTTGTAAAATGAATTGATCAAAAAAGGCTTTGGACACATGCTGTCATCTTCAAGGTAGTATTGACGTTTCAATATGATGAATAACTTGCAACCAATTTTTTTTTTTACTTTTCGGCAATGATAATATAATATTCTGCCATCACGATAGAATTCATTTCAATACAAGCTAGAGCGGGGCTTATTTTTGCCGACAGGAAAATGGCCCTGTAACTGGGATGGGCTTGTAAGTGGGGCATATAATCCTCAGTTAGTGGTATTGATTAAGTCTTGTCCAGGGTTCGGATTTTAAGTGACGGGGATGATCGAAGGACATTTTGGGTTTGAAATTTTTTATTCTAGGATATTTAGATTTATACTTGCAGATTACTCGTCTCCATACACCACTCTTTTTTCAAAAGTCAACTCTGCTTCGTTGTGTAGTAAACGCGTTCAGAATTTCCTCATATTGTTGTAAGAGTTTGTTTTTCACTCATTTCCCTGCTTATATGAAGAATATGTTTTCACTCTGGACCTCTTCCTATGATCTTCGTGGCAACTACATACTCACTTGGTAAACCTAAAACAACTACCTATGGTCTTAAATCCTTGTCTTACTTTTCAGCTAAGCAGTGGAATGCACTACCTGACTCTTTCCGCAATAGTTTTTTTGCAGAATTTAAGACTAAAATACAGGGTTTTCCTTTATGTAGATTCTTTTTGCTTGTACATACTTATACTTAAAACTGTAAATAATACTTTCTTTTGTGTTTTTTATCATTATTTTATAATTATTCATAAGGTGTCAGCTCGAAGATATAAGCTCGCCTAGCTACTCTAAAATTCGAGTGAAAATGAAGTTTATGTTATGTTATATTTGGGTAGGAAAATTTGGCAAGAATTTTTTTTTTTTGGTGGCTTGAATTAAGTAGGGAGTTTTGAGGGTATTCAGAATAATATGAAGATTCGTGGCCGCGTAGTTATGCGAATAAAGTACAACCAAACTTGGGCTCCGAAATTCAACATGAGATTTTTTGAGGGAAGATGTTTGGTCTACGGATTTTTTGGGGTTATGGGTTTTTTGAGGGTCTCTTGAAATCTGGAGTACCCCCGGGGGGTCTTGTCACTATCTACCTTTGGGTAAATCAAACAAAACTCTACCGGTCTGTTCTTCCTCTGTATTTGTTTTGATTTTCAGTTTGCCGCTTTAACAAAGTCTTGTGCAAATGTTTAAATAACAGTCTGTGTTCAACGAGGAAAGCTTAAATTCGGACCAATGTAGACAATATACCATTCAAATTTTTGTTATTTATTGGTGTATATTTTGGCGTGAGGCCAAAAACAGGAAATCATTATACTTCATTAAAAATCTTCGTATCTTAGGTTTAAGCGTCTGGATATAAATAATGGACTACACGAATTATTGTTTTTAACAGCAGTCAAGTGCACCTGGTTTTTGAAGTAGCTGGATACGTTGTCCCGTCGGTTACAGTTGCTTATATAAATTGAAGAAATAACTTACTAGATGTAATATATCAAGCATGAGACCCAGTGTTTCATCACCAGATGAAACACTGAGAAGAGAGTTGAAAATAAGACCCGCGGGGGAGTATTTTTAATGAACTTTGGGGTTTTTCATCTGGTGATGAAACACGTGTCGAATGCTTGATATTACTTCTCAAACAAAATGATTTTAGGAGGAGAAATTAAGGATATAAAAATGACCAGTTTTTCATCTGATTTCCAAACACTCATTAAACATAAATCATAGCCTTTGTATCTTCTTTAATATGAATTATTAATAATAATGAGTTTGAGAACATAACGTCAAGTTCAATTGCAAGGAAATCAGTGAGCAAAGCGTCTGTAAAACACCTCTTCTTGCAGTGCAGTTGGTAAGAACGAAAAAACCATGAAATTAGTACTGATACTGTGACTATATGTAAACTGAGCTATTTTCACCAAGCTTTTGAAGTACCTACTTAAAGCTAACCTAACTCATAACATTTAATTGACTTCTGTAGACGCAAAAATCACGGAATCTTAAAAGCGTTCGATCTGCGATGATCAAATAAGACCATTTTACGAAATGAACGGGGAAAATTTTTACTCAAACGCCTACATGCTAATCAGTAACAACTACTTAACATTTATTCCACGAGTGTACGTTGGATAAAAGATGGTAGTTAGCCAACGAGGTGCGTAGCGCCGAATTGGCTATAATCATCTCATATCCAACAAGCGCAAGCGGAATAATTGTTTTATCAAAAACGCCCACAAAATCTCGATGAATCTCTCCGACTTTATTTTGTTAGAACGAACCGGAAAAGAAGATGGACTTCCGCTTTTCACATGACACTCGTCTGTATCAAAACTGTGAACGCGCGAACGGGCTGGATGAGTGAAAACTCAAAACGATTATAGCGATGAACACTTTTAAAAACTCATCGCAATTCTAGGATTTTACACAGCAGGACACCAAAAAAAACTTCGCAGATAATGAGAACAAAAAGAATTTTGAAGTGCAGTTACAAAAGTAAGAGCATGGAGGAAAACTGTTACCTCGGTCGCCATTCAGAAACTCATGCAAAGATTGTTATGAAGTTGTTTGAAGCCGCCAGCTGGTTTTGCTGAACAAGAGAAGAAGCTATACTGACGCCTTGATTGCTGTAGTGAATGGCTACATAGCCTGTATTTGTGGCTAGTTGTTTGTGATTTATATTCTTTATGTCGGATGAACAGGCTGCAGTTACTTTATTATCAGCAAGTGACCTCGCGATCATGAAAAAACAGTACGTGTCTTCTTTCGTTGGTCGAGGTATTTTATTTTCGAACAAACTCTTGTGGCGTTTTGGTCGTTTGTTTGTTTTGTTTTTTTTTTCGATGAAATTGCATTTTCTATAGTATTCTAGAACTAAAACGATTTTCTTCAGGCGCCATTTCATCCTTCGCGAAAAAAAAATTTCAGCTCAAGTTTCCAATTTTGAACTGACGCTAACATTGACCGTATATGGAGAGCATGGTATAATGGCTCATATACCATGATGGCTAAGCCAATCAAAACGCTAGAATTGCATTATCCAGTGTTTCAGTTTTTAATAATATATAATGTCCTCCGTGATAATATTCGAGAGACTTACATTTGATCTTTTTATTGTAGTTATTCATCTTTAACATTTTTCATATAATTGTCTTTCACTTGTAAGAGGCCATCTAAACTAAGACTTTCATGTCCCACAGAATCCCAAGAAAATATACATAACGCCACCGTTTGTTGTTGTTACAGGTGTATGTTGTGCGTGGAAAATGAACTCTCTTTTCAAAAGAGCGCTTGTTTGGACTGCTGCGTTCTTCATCTGGATTTGTTTTAGCGCTTGGATCTTTGTTCAAGTAGAATACTCGGACGTTGATGAATATGAGCAGAAATACCAGTTGTTACACTCTCTCTACAATTCCATGGCATATAAATTCAACATAACCATTGAGGAGTTTAATAACTTTTCCAAAACAGCGCACGAAGCATTAAGCGTGCCTAAATTGCAGTGGAGCTACAGCACATCTTTTGATTTCGTCTTTCAGACTGTCACAACCATAGGTAAGAATAATTATGGGACAGCACGACGTTCTTGAAACGAATTGTTGAATTAGCTAACGAAACAGTAGGTGAATTTGCGAAATACGGTCCTTTGCTCTAGAGCAAATGCAGGTGCGTTTTCAAAGGCCAATACATGAAGAGGATTCTGAGTACCTGGGCCGAGTTGTCGAAAGCTGGGTTAAGATAACCCAGGGTTAGTGCAAGATTTGAATTCAGATTTCAAAGCTTAAAAAACATTTCAGTTTTAATTCTTTTTGTCAACAAGTCGATGTTTGGAAGCTCTAAAAATAACAGAGAAAATGGTCTGAGAAAATGCCTTTGAACACAAGAAAAAGAAACCCAGGTTAAGTGCTAATCGGCCTTCAAACAACTGTGCCCAGAGCGTTTCGGCTCCAGAAGAGATCTAGAGTCGCAAGCCCTGTGTACATGTAAGATCAATTATAGGAGTAGTGGTAAAGGGATAAACTTAACCACATTTATGCCTAGTCAGTGCCTAGCAAGTGCCTATTCATTTCGTAATCCTGCATACTAATTTTGGCCTTCCTGCATACTAATTTCAAAAGTGCGTAGTCAGGGCCTAGCAAGTGTCTAGTCACTGCTTTCCTCCATACTAATAAGTGCCTTCCTCCATATGTAATGAGCTTCTCTCTTATACAATAGGCTTGCCTAGACTTGTCCGCCCTATACCCGCATTGACGGGTTGATGTAGAATCTATTATGTGTTTAAAATATAAAGAGACGCGTTCTCCGTTTAGCATTTTATTCTTGCAAGTTCGAGTTCGGCTCTTGTAGGAAAACCTTTATTCACTTTTTGAGCATCATGGTTTTTATTACCAACGTTGATGAGCTTCAAGCTCTTTTGAACGCCTGTTCCTCTACCCAAGAATGGGAATTATTGCTGGACTCCATTTTAGTACCTAAGGAGTGCAACGTCTATTAAGATATTCAAATAAGAGGCGCGATCACCTAGCAACACAAGAAACGGCTTATGTCCTGTATTTGTGTAATGATCGGATATATAAACAAAACACATACACATACAAAACGTGGAGCTGAAAACTCTCTATTTCAATTTTGACTGACCGTTACAAAACCGCTTTCTCCATTCTATCTCAAGGAAACCACCAACTGTTAAAGTCTGGTGAGTTTATCGTCTTGTTTCACGCGCTGTTAGTCACTTAATAATGCCAGTTAAAAAGCCCACATTTGCATACAAATTGGTTCTACGTAAAAACCCTAAGGTAGAACCTTGAATTATTTATTATAAAAACACAAAACAATAAAAAAAACTTAAGAAGGATTAACTGAAACACTAGACTAATAAATGCTCGCAATAAAACCAGATACGAGACTCGAAACTTCTTATGCCGAGTTCGTTTCTTCTTTTTTCCATGATCACCATTGATATCAGCCAAATAATTTACAACTTGAATCCGACTCCTTTTGCGTTTCGGGGCTTGTGATGGAGTTTTTACTGTGGGTGGAGGGGTCAGGAAAGCAGGATTTACGGCTGGTGGTGGGGTGGAGCTTTCTTTTTCCGGTTTTTGTAAGACAGCCGCTTGTGTTAATTCAGGTGTTACGTTGAAGGGGTTAAGGGGAGTTGAGAATGCTTCCTTCGCTGTCGAAGAATCCTGTGAATCTTGTGCGCTGATTGCTTCTTCAGGTCGTGATCTTGTATTTAATTGTTCTTTAAATCCACGCATCTGTTTTGCAACTGAAAGCTAAGTATCGCTTAGCTTTTTCATCGTCCCGAAGATCGTTTCGAGATCAAGCACGTCATCCATGTTGCCCTGTATCTCTTGCATACCTGGAAGAAGTGGGACAGGAGAAAGATTTTGCCGCTTTAGATATTTTAGAAGCTCTTGAGGAATATTTCCTTGAAACCCTACTTGCATGGTTAAAACCTCCTTCACTGAGCAGGACGTTTTGTTCGCAGTCGACAGTTAACTTGGGTAGTAGTTTTAAGATCAATCAGCAGATAACAAAATGGTCGTTTTACAGCCTCTTCGTACTGATTTAGAAATAAATCTGCATTCAGTTTGCCTGGGAGACATTTGTTTGGCCAGAGTCAAGATTTGCTATTTGTATCGTGGATTCTTGAATAGCACCAAATAATGACTGTTTAGGCTTATGCTGCGGCTACCTTTCCCCTGATGAAATAGATTCTGGACGATATAAATCACGCTTAGATTTCGATGATGAGAACCACGAGTAAAGAGGTTCACAATTCGCTGGTCTTTACTGACGCCAATCATCTCATGATCAAACACGATCAAATTCCGTTTGTTCACATCAAAATAGGAATCCTGCTCCAAAGGCGTAGGAATTCCCGAATTTCATGTGTGGTATGGCCACTAGAATTTCTGTATACGCAGGCTACCATTGTGAATAACACAAGACGATCCTCTACGGGCCGAGGTGAAAACACCTTTTGGTTATCTGCCGATTGATCTGAAACTACTACCCAAGATAATTGTCGACTGCGAACAAACGTCCTGCTCAGTGAAGAAGGCTTTTACCAAGTAGGGTTTCAAGAAAATATTCCTCAAGAGCTTCTTAAATGTCTAAAGTTGCAGAATCTTTCTCCTGTCCCAGAGGCGAACTCGAACTTGCAAGAATAAAATGCTGAATGGAGAGCGCACCTCTATTTTGAACACATAATAGATCTACATCAACCAATCAGTATGGTTAAAGAGCGGGCAAGTCTACGTAGGCAGGCCCATTGTATAAGAGAGACTCTCATTGCATACCGAGGAAGGTACTTATTAGTATGGAGGAAAGCAGTGACTAAGCACTTAATTAGTATGCAGGAAGGCCAAATTAGTATGCAGGATTAGGCAATGACTCGACACTTGCCTACTAGGCATAAATGCGGTTAAGTTCATCCCTCTGCTACTACTTATGGGACACCGCGAAGCTCAGATAGACTAAGGAAACGTTTAAGTATCAGCAAAGTGAAAACAATTAATTAACGAAACAATGTAAGAATGGCCCAAGCAATGTCCCTAGCTTTATAACAAGAGGATTCTGTGAGATTTGAGACTCTACAAGAGAATAATTTTCTCGTACGCCTACGCCCTGTCTATATCTAAGCGAACTAGGCCATTTACAAACCTTTGTGAGAATTTCTGAGAAATTCGCTTCGTCTATGGTCAAACTTGTTCATAAGTGCTGTACTGTCAAGCTATTTGCTATCTTTTTTAAAAATCTGAAACGTGTTTTCGCATCAATTGAATTCAAAAAGAAATTATCCAGTTTTGTTATTTAAGACTATATTTAGGCATTTAGGGACCAGTCATAATTTAAGTTGGAGGGGGGGGGGGTGGAGGAGAAACTGGGGGGCCTTCAATTTTTTTTGGATGGAATAAGGGGGGCCTTGAAATGCCAAAAGATGACCTTGGGGCGGGGGTCTTCAAGTTTCTTTTAAGTAGCATCCCTACTGAGCAGCATGATGCTTGAGTATTAATGGACCTGACTTAGATTCAGTTTTACACAAAGTCCTATATTGTGTAATACGAAAACAATTTAATCAGCATTTAATCAGCTCAAATAGTAGGTGCATCAACACAACATCCATTATTGTGTAACTCCGAAACAATTTCATCGGCATTTTAACAAATGATTACATGCATAAAGTCATGTTATGCAATCTCACTATCCGAATCATTATTTGTAGATGAGGTTGATGTGGGCTCACAGTCTGTGTCACTGTCAAGTTTTTTGCTATTAGAGCATGTACTGCTCATATAAAAAGCAGTAAGCTTTGGCCGATTATCTTGTTTCTTCCTTGAAGCGGTCCTGTCGGCCTCTAACCTGTCGATGGCTTGTCTTATCTCAATTATAACACAATCACTGATATATCCTTGCTCTATAAGCTGTTTGAGAGGCTCTAGGTGAAATCTCTTTCTCAGTTTGGTGTGAAGTGCTTCTCCCTTGTTAGTTAGCACATTCGGAAGTGACAGTGAGTAAGAACGGTAAAGTAAAGAAAATGTTACTTGTTATTACCATTTGGGTATTATGTAAGAAAGGGGGGGCCCTTAAATCTTTTAACATGATTGAAGGGGGGTACCTAAAAAAACATGGGTGCTATTAGTAGGGGTCTAGAAATAAATTGGGATAAAAAACAATTTCTCCCCCCCCCCCTCCAACTTAAATTATGACTGGTCCCTTAAACTGTTTTCTGTGGTCTGTTGCAATGGACGGTAAAAATAGACATAGATTAAAAACAGTTTTAATACTTTTCCTGCCCAAATGACTAATAAAACAGTTATTATGTTTAGTAACTCTAAAGCAGCATGGTTGTGCATGGTTAAGCACTAATACGTACTAATTAAAGATTCAAGCAAAAAACTGTTGACAATAACAACGTGCCATAGGCGAGTGTCTTCCTTGCAAAGTATGATGTATATGCTTCCGTAGGAATGAGATAGAGGGCCAGAAATCGCTTAATTATTGTAAAATCACAAATACATCAGTGCGCTGGTGATGGGACCCTGCAAGAAACGGCCCGTTCAATAGAGGTGGAAAGAGAACTCGATTGGATCTAAATAAGGAGACCATGACGACTTCTCAAATGTTTGCAGTACTTAAGGGAAAAGATCTTAGGGACAGAAACATAAGTAGAGGGTGACCACTTAATGCAAGTTTGAATGTCTCTTCTTTTGTCACAGGTTATGGTTACATCACACCTCAAACCTCCAAAGGCAAGATATTGTGCATATTTGTTGCTCTTTTCGGGATACCAATTACAATGCTCGCGTTGAAATCCATCGGCGAACTAATCGTCGTGTGTGTCAACAGCAGCATCACAAATTTGGAAAAGAAAATCCTCAGAAGGCAAGAGGCGAAGAAAGTCCAAGTTAAAAGTGCAGTGGTCCTGTTTTCATTAATGGTGATATTTTTGATGGTCTTCGCCCTTCTACTGGTCAACAGCACCGACATGACTCTTGTCCAATGCGTGTATTTCTGGTTTGTAACATATACCACGATAGGTTTTGGTGATTACGTTCCTGGAAAGATTCCTCAAAGCATCCAACGATTATCTTTCAACAGCTCCGCAAACCATGACAACAAAGCTACAAAATCATTGCAAGAATTCGATGTCCCAGTCTATGTTACAATATTCTATCTATTATTCTGCATGCTTGGTTTTTGTGTCGTATCAAGTGTATTAAATTCTATAGTGGCGGCATTCGAAGTTGAAGGGCATGGTCCTTGGTGTTTCAGGTGTCATTCAAGAGATATTCTAAACCACGATGATGGTAACCAATTATCTGCAGTGCATAGTGATATGGGCGTGGCCAATTTGAACATGGAAAGCTCTCGATCGGTAAATGAAAACGTCATTTCACTTTCATTCACGGAAACAACGAAGGATTAAATCACCACGAAACCTTTTTACAGTTTTCGTAGAAAAAGGTGAAAGAAATTCGAAAGGAGATCTAGATAATTAGATGACGTATCTCTACTCTGCTCCACCCTTCCTCAGTAGTCTTTATAACGAATGTTTAGAAGAAATTTCCAGTTATATTATTAATGTATTAGAGAATCCTCACAGCTTATCAGGTTACTTTTCTGACAAAGTAATCTACTACAGCAACTGAAGCATCCTATAAATTTCGTGCTTTTAATTTTGCATGGCCTATCACCTAAGTACCTTTCAGATTTAATTAGTATTCAACAGCCTTCGTCCTACCATTTGAGGCGCAACGACAATGGTCGTTTGTTGGAAAGACCAAGTGCGAAAACCAAGAAAACATTGGGAGACAGAGCTTTCCAGGTAGCTGCTCCTTTCCTATGGAATAAGCTGCCAAGGTCCGCGCGCGAAGCAACGAACTTAGAATCTTTTAAGACTTTAATTAAGACATTTTTATTTAAGGAATCATTTCAGTTATCTTAGTATATCTAAATCTTTATTTGTAATTATCTTTTACTCATTTAATGTAAATATTTTTATAATTTTGATAGAAAGATTTGTAAAATTTAGTTATTAATTACTATTGTGATGCGCTTTTGAATATGTTATAGAAAAGGCGCAAAAACATATATATAAATGTTATTGTTATTGTTGAATGCTTTTATCTACAAACAGGCTCAGTTACTCCCAATCTAGTCGAATGATAATCAGCCTGTATGAAAATCATTTTGCAAAAATTAAAACAGAGAAATCGGGGGCACCCAACGTCAATTTTTGGAAAATATCTGTTCGGAAGACGATTTGAGATCTAGAATTTTCGGAATATTTGTTGTAAAATTTCTTGCTTGCCTTCCTCTCCTAGGATTTTCGAACATCTGAAAAATGGCATAATTGCCCATTTTTAACGGATTTTTTCCCTAAAAAGGTCACCTAGAATTTTGGGGAGCCTTTTTTCTGGCTGAAATTTTCGAAAATGTAGGTTTTGATCCCTATAATTTTCGGATCACTAGACTCTCAGCTAGGAAATCCGAACAGATGAAAAATTTTTAGCGGATAAAAATATGCCTATATTTACCGTTCAAATACTAAAATACGTTCAACAATGCTATGTTTAAGTGGTTTTGAACTATATTCTCGTTGGGTGCCCCTGAGAAATATGTAGAGCATAAAAGCTCATCTTACAGTTCTGAAATTAAGTGAGTCAATTAACCGTCTCCCCCTCCGCCTCACATACATTTAGAACTTGAAACAGGCCTTCCTTTTAAGACATAAATCTCTCCAAGACACGGAAAACCCTAGCCTGTGTAGAAGGCGCCGGTTATTTCCTTTACAGGCCGCAGATTTCTAACTTCGCCCTAGAAGACTGGCGCCTGCTACGTAGGCTAGGAAAACCTCAGTGGAGGGAGAAGGGGAGGATTGTACCAACATATGGATATGACTAAGTGTCTATGTCGGGTTCGCAAGTTACTAATCAAAATGCAGGGAAGGTACCTTTGACAACAAATATCAAAAAGGGGTGAAATATAGTGACGGTTGTTAAGTTGTGAGCTAAGAGGAAAAAAACTATGATAAACTAACGCTCACTTCTTCTATTTAAATCCAATATTTGCTTTTGCATCAGAGTTTATTGACGGTTGTATACATTATTTTTACAACGTGATTTCTACACATCGAGCGACAGACTTATTATTATTATTTTCTGTCTCATATTTATTTGGTAGGTAATTAAGCAATTATTTTAAGACGATGCTTGGTCAAGGATTAGTTGAAAATACGAAAATCGACAGTAAAAAAGTGCGACGTTAAGGTTTTTAGGGTGTCCTTTTAGTCTCTAACTCTCTCAAAAAGAGCGGCGTTGCGCTGGATAAATAGAGGGATAATCGACAGGGCGATTCGAAATGACTAAAGGACGGAACTGGGACTAAAGCTTAGTAGAACACTTCGCTCGGTTGCGTAATCCCGGGGGAGGGGTACTGCCATATATGGACTATATAGGTATGTGCCGCTGTGAAGGGTATGGTTTTTAAGCAGTTTACTCTAGGACAGGGTATATAAATTAGAACATTTGGGTCTAGAATAGGGTATCATTTTTCAGGAAACTGATCAGTTGGTTACTCTAGGATAGGGGGGATTTGGGGAGTTTACTCTAGTACAGGGTAGCAAAATTTAGCTGAGCTAGCTCTAGTATAGGTTAAAGGTTCCAGGGTCCCAGCGGCACATCCCCAAACAGAAATTCCTAAAGTACCCCCCCTTAACGGGAAGTAATTCAATTGTGTTGAGTTCTGTTGGTTCGAGGTAATTCTGATCGGTAACTTGAAGAGGTAATTCACTGTCGTGGTACTTCGTACTGGGTAGCTCGACGCTCTTGGCGAGAGGTAATTCAAACTGTACAGTGTACAAGCTTGCTTATATGTGGTCTAGCAATGCTGATGCTGTTCAAACATTATATTCGGAAAGTCTTTAATATAAAACTACATTCACAGCAGAATGATAAACAACTAACATCCTCCGATTAAAAACAAGCCCTTACAAAGGACAGTAAAGCAACTGAGAACACTTCAATTGCTCTTGATTATTGTGCTGAATATTACTAATATCATGATTCTAGATCAGTATCGGATCCAGACCTAATAACAGGGGCACCCAATGGATCTTTTCCTCAAAATATCTGTTCTTCATGCAAATTTTTGCTGGCTGGGAGATTTGGACAAAATAATATGTCCTGGGAAATTGGAAAATTGTGGGTGTCTGAGGTGCTAGCTGCTGAGCGCTATGTGTCAGAAACCTCTTAGCCCTCCCCCCCCACAACCCCTACTGAAGGGGTGAATGTAGCACTTAAGCCACACCCAAATTCCTATCAAACCCCTCCCCCTTGAAGGGATGAATTTTGCCCTAGGGCCTTCGTCTGCTAGGAAACTTCCAAGTAAGTCAGGTTGCAGGTTGAAGGTGCACCTTGCTGGCTGGGAACCTCTTCATCAGTCTTGCTGGGAGTAAGGAACAGATAAATTTTTCCCAGCAATCTCCCAAAATGCTTAAAATAGCTTCAGATATCTTTATTCATGCTTTTTTGTTGTTTTTAAGTCTTCTTTTTCAAAATTTTCTGTTGGGTGCCCTTGTAATAAGGGGGGCCAGGTCATCCAGACCTTTAGATAAAGATAAACGTCAAGAAAGTAATGTTTAAGCAGCTTTCGTTTTCCCATCCAAGGTTAATTACGATCGTAACTTCTTACTGCCGTGAATCTTGATAAAACAAATTGTAAGGAGCGGCTGAATAAACACTCATCTTTGCACGGTTTTTTGCGATCTTAAACTTAAATGTTTTAAAATCATATTCGGAATGCTGAAATGTTAACTTTGATAAAACTGAGTTCCCTTCTAAAGATAACATTGAAATATCGGCCGCGACAAAAGTGTGTTTAATCAAAACTCTCCCAATATGCGTCATGCTGTAAGTAAGAAAATAATATTTCCACTGTTACATAACAGGGTCGAGTAGAAAGGTAAGGAGTACTTCTGTAATGATACAAATTAAGCAAATGAAAAATACAAAAAAGATTGGTTATTATATGAGTTTCTAGAGAGGTCAATTATATTTAGGATGATTTCTGTTCCCCGGTAGATCACTACCAAGTTGTATACTGTTCATCTATCTTGCTGACTGCTAAACTGAAAATTCTAACCAGAAGAGGCATTATATTCTACATGTTATGCCTTTTACTGACTGTGGGTCTGATCGTTCACAACTTAAAACTAATGATAATGATAAATACTTAATTATACTCTCCCCTCATGAGGCTTCTCCGGAATAATGAAGCAAGTAGTAATTAAAATGGAACGTAGCAAGGGTTTAAGAGTCCCAACTGGTAGGATGAGAACCAGCTGGCTATTTCACAAGCGTACCAGGGATTATGGGGGATTTGAACAAATCCAGCTAGCTAGCCGTTAGCCTGGGACTTAAAATCGGGGCGTACTGAGTACAAATCCAGCGCTCCAACTACTAGGCAACGATGCTTCCAGAAATAGTCATAATTAATTATTTAAAACGGGGTCAAAAAGACTTGATAAGAAACCCCCAAGAGTTTCAAGGATCAAAATCTTAGAAAATATATCCAAATTTGAATTGAAGATTTTTGTAGTAGAGGTCGCCTATCAGGTTCCAGGCTGTCCACGATGTCAGGATAAGCTAAAGAAAAGTTTGAATCCCATTCAAATTCACAGTATGCAATAGAAAAAAGGTAATTATTTAATATGAATTTGAATTTTTATAATTGCAATTTGGACTTGAATTGTTGTTTAACAATGCTCATTTAAATGGTTCCATTACTGTGAAGCTGAATGATACTGGTCGATACTGGAAATAGCAAGAGTCAGAAGGCACAACGGTGAAAGATGAACCCGCTCCTCTTTAAAGCGCTTCTTCGCACTGCTTTCTTCATCGCGTGGTCGTGTTTTAGTGCTTGGCTTTTCGTTCAAGTGGAACACACTGAAAATGATTTTGTTGATGAAAAGTATCAGTTACTGCGCTCCCTTTACATTTCCATGGTATCTAAATACAACATGACCATCGACGACTTCAACAACTTTTCCAATATTGCACATGAGGCATTGTCCGCACCTGATTTGCCGTGGACCTATGATCATTCCTTTGACTTCGTTTTACAAACGGTGACTACAATAGGTGAGGACATTCCACATCAAGAATGTAAATTAAAATGCAATGTCTAATAATGCGTTTTAGCCATTTTGAGTGTCAGCCTAAGGTTGATAAGTTTTCATGACGATCACCGGCTAGACTGCTAAGAGCCATTTTTGATCATCGCCGTCGCAAACGCAGAAGAGTATCGTCCAACGGAGCGTGCCCGAACATTTTGCTACTCGAGCGACTGGAAAGGGCCGGGTAACAGTTTTCGAAAGAATCATTCGCCTTAGTATTCTTTCCAGCAACGAGTATTCAGAATTCCTGATGACTATTGGAAGCGAACAAGAGAGGCTTGATGCGGATCTATTCTAAACTAGTAATTTAGCAGTGTTTTTTTTTTCTTTTTTTTTTTTACAAAAATCACCACAAAATTATTATGGTTTGTGCTCCGCGGTAAAATTTATTTAATCTCTTAATTCTTTATACCTCGACAGGAGCTTTTGCAGCACAGAATTGATCTAAAAAAAAAAAAGCGATATCCTCGTAACATCGCCCCTTGAAGTGTCACTGTTTTTAATTTTTTTTTTCCGTGGCCTAATTTACAACCTGATTTCTTTTGGTGCCGATAAATTCACTGAACGGCCTCAGCTAAAATTGTTCGGATTGATCTTCTTGGTGGTATTTCCGCTAACAATGTTTTAAACATCTTAACTTTCCTCTATCATAGGATATGGGTATATCACACCAAAAACAGAAGGAGGCAAGATACTTTGCATCTTTGTCGCTTTGGTGGGGATTCCGCTCACAATGCTGGCATTAAAAACGGTTGGCGAGCTCATTGTCTATGGTGTTAACAAAGTTGTTAAGAAGTTTGAAACGAAAGTCCTCAAGAAGTCAGAAGTACGACAACTGCAAACTAAAACTGCAGTAATCTTATTTTCATTATTGGTGATGCTAATAATGACTACCTCCATTCTTATTGCAAGAAGTGCGGGTTGGACCGTTACCGAAAGCGTTTATTATTGGTTCATAACTTATGCAACGATCGGTTTTGGTGACTACGTTATGAAAGACTTTCCTCAAAGAATTCATATGTTGTCTAGCAATGGCTCAAGAAGCCACCAGGGCCAAGAAAAACGCGCATTTGAAGTAGCAGAAACTGCGCGAATTTTTCTTACAACTTTAGCCTTGTTTTTTAGTATACTAGGTCTATGTTTAGTCTCAAGTGTATTAAACTCCATCATGGCCGCTATTGAGGAACTGAACCTCCGACCTCGTTGTCTCAGAGGAAAAACTGAGGATCGACCCTGTGACAACAAGAACAGTTCTCCAGAGCAGTGTGACAGAGAAGTTATTCAAGCGTTATAGCAAGAAAAGCCAAGGATTTCAGAGAGGAAACATCAAAGCGAGAATTAATGACGATCGACTTTAAGCACATACACGTTATAAAATTATAGCCCCATTTAAAGGTAATGTTACACCGCGACGATTCACAACGAAATGTTATGTTTGTTGTAGATCACTACCAAGTTGTATACTGTTCATCTATCTTACTGACTGCTAAACTGAAAATTCTAACCAGAAGAGGCATTATATTCTACATGTTATGCCTTTTACTGACTGTGGGTCTGATCGTTCACAACTTAAAACTAATGATAATGACAAATACTTAATTATACTCTCCCCTCATGAGGCTTCTCCGGAATAATGAAGCAAGTAATAATTAAAATGGAACGTAGCAAGGGTTTAAGAGTCCCAGCTGGTAGGATGAGAACCAGCTGGCTATTTCACAAGCGTACCAGGGATTATGGGGGATTTGAACAAATCCAGCTAGCTAGCCGTTAGCCTGGGACTTAAAATCGGGGCGTACTGAGTACAAATCAAGCGCTCCAACTACTAGGCCATGATGCCTCCAGAAATAGTCATAATTAATTATTTAAAACGGGGCCAAAAAGACTTGTAATTTAACCCCCAAGAGTTTCAAGGACCAAAATCATAGAAAATATATCCAACTTTGAATTGAAGATTTTCGCAGTAGAGGTCGCCCATCACGTTCCATGCTCTCCACGATGTCAGGATAAGCTAATTAAAGAAAAGTTTGAATTCCGTATACCAAAGTACATCAAATTTTGATTTGATAGCAAGGTATTCACAGTATGCAATAGAAAAAAGGTAATTATTTCATATGAATTTGAATTTTTATAATTGCAATTTGGACTTGCATTGTTGTTTAGCAATGCTTATTTAAATAGTTCGATTACTGTGAAGCTGAATGATACTGGTCGATACTGGAAATAGCAAGAGTCAGAAGGCACAACGGTGAAAGATGAACCCGCTCCTCGTCAAAGCGCTTCTTCGCACTGCTTTCTTCATCGCGTGGTCGTGTTTTAGTGCTTGGCTTTTCGTTCAAGTGGAACACACTGAAAATGATTTTGTTGATGAAAAGTATCAGTTACTGCGCTCCCTTTACATTTCCATGGTATCTAAATACAATATAACCATCGACGACTTCAACAACTTTTCCAATATTGCACACGAGGCATTGTCCGCACCTGATTTACCGTGGACCTATGATCATTCCTTTGACTTCGTTTTACAAACGGTGACTACAATAGGTGAGGACATTCTACATGAAAAATTTAAATTAAAATGTAATGTTTAATAATGCATTTTAGCCATTTTGAGTGTCGGCCTAAGGTTGATAAGTTTTAATAATACGATCACCGGCTACACTGCTAAGAGCCATTTTTGATCATCGCCGTCGCAAACGCAGAAGAGTATCGTCCAACGGAGCGTGCCCGAACATTTTGCAACTCGATCGACTGGAAAGGGCCGGGTAACAGTTTTCGAAAGAATCGTTCGCCTTAGTATTCTTTCCAGCAGCGAGTATTCAGAATTCCTGATGACTATTGGAAGCGAACAAGAGAGGCTTGATGCGAATCTATTCTAAACTGGTAATTTAGCAGTGTTTTTTTTTTTCGCAAATATCACCACAAAATTATTATGTTTTGTGCTCCGCGGTAAAATTTATTTAATCTCTTAATTCTTTATACCTCGACAGGAGCTTTTGCAGCACAGAATTGATCTAAAAAAAAACAGCGATATCCTCGTAACATCGCCCCTTAAAGTGTCAGTGTTTTTAATTTGTTTTCGTGGCCTAATTTACAACCTGACTTCTTTTGGTGCCGATACGTTTACTGAACGGCCTTGGCTAAAATTGTTAGGATTGATCTTCTTGGTGGTATTTCCGCTAACAATGTTTTAAACATCTTGACTTTCCTCTATCATAGGATATGGGTATATCACACCAAAAACAGAAGGAGGCAAGATACTTTGCATCTTTGTCGCTTTGGTTGGGATTCCGCTCACAATGCTGGCATTAAAAACGGTTGGCGAGCTCATTGTCTATGGTGTTAACAAAGTTGTTAAGAAGTTTGAAACGAAAGTCCTCAAGAAGTCAGAAGTACGACAACTGCAAACTAAAACTGCAGTAATGTTATTTTCATTATTGGTGATGTTAATAATGACTACTTCCATTCTTATTGCAAGAAGTGCGGGTTGGACCGTTACCGAAAGTGTTTACTGTTGGTTCATAACTTATACAACGATCGGTTTTGGTGACTACGTTGCAAAAGACTTTCCTCAAAGTATTCAGATGTTGTCTAGCAATGGCTCAAGAAGCCACCAGGGCCAAGAAAAACGCGTTTTTGAAATAGAAGAAACTGCGCGAATTTTTCTTTCAATTTTAGGCTTGCTTTATAGTATACAAGGTCTATGTTTAGTCTCAAGTGTATTAAACTCCATCATGGCCGCTATTGAGGAACTGAACCTCCGACCTCGTTGTCTCAGAGGAAAAACTGAGGATCGAGCCAGTGACAACAATGACAGTTCTCCAGAGCAGTGTGACAAAGAAGTTATTCAAGCGTTGTAGCAAGAAAAGCCAAGGATTTCAGAGGGGAAACATCTCATCTGTTCTAATAAGCGAGAATTAATGACGATCGACTTTAAGCACATACACGTTATAAAATTACCGCCCCATGTAAAGGTGATGTTACACGGGACGATTCGCAACGAATT